CATTTTTCCTAGACATTGATATAGGACTCTCCAATAAAATACTATTACATGTAGTGGAATAAACTGAAATGGGATGGTATCATCCTGAAAACATTTTACTGTTTTTCTATCACTGTGAAACCAAGCACATAAGTGAAGGCATCCTATTTCTCTAAATATGCTTTCTAAATGTGAAAGGGTTGAAGCAATTTCCAGAGGTCTCTATCTAGAAAAAGCCTTCCACTGATATTTAACTGAACTGCCTTTGCTCTGACACATGCAATAAAATACATTGGAATCAAATGTAAATGCATCATTGTGCTTTATGTAAAGCAAATCAGCTTAATTTGCTTTTTTCATCACTATTACACAAGCCTAGCATGCCCAATTGTTGTAACTAAAATTTTATTGAAATTGTTGGAAATATTCTGATTTACATCAGCTCATTAATAATTCCACCGTTTTTAGTAGAATTATATCAAGCCTTATTCTCACAGGAAGCCTGTGAGTCAAATTTTTGACTGCAGTGTTTTCCTATACCCCTCAAGAGAGGATCAATTACAGTGTTAATATATCAGAAATATCTTCACACACTTTGACAGTGTAGAAATCACTGTATGTACAGAAAGTCTGGCACAGCTTACTCTCCATACACAAAAGTTAAAAAAACTTGCAGAGGGAACTCTCCTCTGTATTTGAAGAAAAAATGTTGTTCTATAGAAGAAAATACAAACCAAGTATTACCATACTGTTTCAGGCATTAAAATAATACTAAAATTTAGGACCAGATTCTATAAAATGTTACTGAAGTAAATCAGAATTCAGTCTGCTCAGCAGTCAAACCGAAGTCAACAGGACCAGACATTCAGGTGAATATTCACTTATCTTGGTCTTAACCTTATAACAGCTAGATTTTGTGCAAGTTATCTGCAAACTGACATAATTTAGACACTGATGTCTCTATACCTATTCTCATCCTGCTTTGCACAAATATAAAAACAAAAAACATATCACCCACAGTAAGGTTTACTAGAGACTGCATCTTTTAAAAGCATTAAAAAGCCATTGTAAGCACATCTTCACAGCTCATTGCACCTCTTGCACCTTCCAATTACTGGTGCAACTTCCCACCCACTCCAAAACTGAACTGAACCTCCCAGAACAGACAGAACTCAGCTGTAAGGTCCTATTCTGTTAGCAGTCCTCCACCTAACAGGTACAGCACATGCAAGCACATTGCTCAGCAATTAACCATACCTAGTGCTTTACAGAAAAAAAAAAAAAAAAAGAAAATTAAATTCCAGTAGTCAGAGTAGTAGCAAAATGTTTATGAAAATTAAAAAAAACCAAACACTTGGCTGCAAGAGTCATAAACCCTTAATGATGCTCAAGTCTCTCTTTTGATAACCTGTAAAAAATTATTTGAAAGAGCTTTATGAAATCCCTAGATTTTACCAAGATTAGCAAGAACGCCGCTTTAATTTTTTGTAGTTGCAGAAACTTTGACAAAGTACTCTATTTTAAACTAACATGGAGTGGCACTTGAGCACGGCTCACTTTCTGCATTGCTCAGAGCCAGCTGCATGGTGCTGACACCCCTTCACATACCACTTGGCATTTCTGCAAGTTATTCAGTAGTGTTCAATCCCCTCTCACAATAAAGACTGTACTCTTAGGTTATCATTTGTTCTGTCAGTCATCCAAGTGAAGCTGCAATGTTTAAGTACACAGTAGTCACACAGTGTGGAACCTTTAAAATTACTGGTAATAATATGCTAAATATTTACATTAGAAAAAAGCCCCACAAAACTGTCTCCTGGAACATTTCCCAGGCTAAATAACAGTCTTTGCCAATACACCTGCAGCTCTTTGTAACTAATTAAGAAACTTGAGCAAACACACTCAAAAAGCCTCAAAAACCCAAATGCAGAGTCCATTACTTGAAAAAAAAACTACCCATTCTCAACAATTGATGCATGTGTAATTGCAGTACTTTTGTCTTTTCTTCCCTTCATAAAGACTTAATTATTTACAAGAGGTTATTTTGAAGAGAAATTGGAATTAAGAGAAGTAATTAACTCTAAAATTGAGGGATAGAATAAGTTTCGGTTATAGAAACTACTAATTACAGAACCTATACCTTGGATCATTTTCAAAAAGTTTGCCTCCTGATACGAAACTTGATGATCTATAGGTTCATTAAGATGGCAGCATTGCAACAAATTCTCCAAAAGGGAAACCATTTTTGGCTTTTTTCTCCATAGTTCTGTAAACAAAAAAAAAAAAAAAAAACAAAACCAAAACAAAAAAAAAATTAATTTAGTTAAATAATATACCAAAATTTCCTAATGAGAATATGGGGTTGCCTTAAGTTTTGGAACTATATTACACACAAAACTTGAGGGCTTTAGTGGCATTATTTCTATATATTTCCTTCTGAAATACATAAAATGTATTATCACTCTTAGAAAATGCTACTATTTGTGCTAAGACTGCAAATTAAAGTTTTTACTATTCATATTAATGCAGGATACTTCCTATACCCTAGTATTTTAAGTCCACATCCTGAAAACAACCAAACAAATATTTAAATTTATGCATGCAAATAACCTCACTGAAAACCATAATACTGAAGATCAGAGCACCATCTGTAAAGTGTATTCATAGACTCCATAGCTCATTTACCCAGCACACTAACTGAAAAACAGTTTGGAAATTTGTTTTCCTCATTTTTTCAACCAGTACAGCTCCTGTTTCACAGGAGTACACAGTAGTACACAGCCCAAACCCAAACTGCTTAGGAAGGCCAGTTTCATAAGGTCATTCACACAACCAATTTTCAATTGCAGAAATTTTAATAAAGAGCAAGTAGTTGTGCCAGTTTTGAATGATATTTTGTGTCCCAAAATGTTGGCAATTTAATTTTTATTATGACGTTCCTTGCTTAAAATGTAGTTTGTTAATAATAGCTAAAAGAAACGTCGGCTGCAGTGTCTGCGTTTTAACAGTGGATGGCACCATTCACCTCAGAAATTGCCTCCTTAAATATTAGATTACATTCTTATGTGTGAACCTTGTAGCATAATTCAGCGGGAAAGCAAAATGCAAATGTCTAAACAACAAAAAGAGGGAAAAAATATAGTCTTCAGGAAAGTACTTGAGGGTAGCGCCTTTCTTAAATATGACATTCCCTGTCAAAACCCTGTCCCGTGCAGAATGAGTGTTTGTGTGCAAATGCAGCCTGTGTACACAGATGTTTGGGTTAGTTTTTTTTTTCATTTTACCACTGCCACAGACAATTTTTTTTTTAGCTCCAAGAATGACTTCAAATTCAGATTGGGAAATGTATATAGCAATACCCGGACATAAGCTTTTAGCGAGATTTTCCTATGGGCTAAGAACTGCAAACTGTCATTTGCTTAAAAAGTTCTAATAGGGATACAAGTGGCTTTATAAAAATGATATTTCATATTTCTGTATTAAGCCTTTCCTGGTTTAACATTCAAGTAGATTAAAACAAAATATGTACATTTAAATACACAACAAAAAAAAATTATTTTCCCTTTGGAAGCTGTATGTAACAGCTCCTAAAATCTAACTTCACAGTGATGCTAAAGAGATGGCCAAAACAAGGAGGAATCAAATAGTTCCAAGGGGAACTTGGAAGATACTAACCTGTGTCTGGGATGGTATGAAAGGAGACATTTACTCCTTTGTACAACAGCTGGTCCGTATTGTGAGCTCCAGGCACTCAAAAGTCAGCAGCAGTCCCAGAAATACTTTTTAAGACCTAATCTTAACCTTCACGTCTCTTTAACAGTTGGGGAGCTAAGGAAAAATGCGTCCTCTGTATTTTCCGAGCTATCAGAGCTATAGATTTGGGGATGGGAGCTACACTTCTGTCCCCTGTGGTCAGAAGGGATAAAGCTTGCATTTATTTTTAAATGAAATCCAAACATGCAATACCAGAGCTGCCTGTGCCAACAGTGTGTTACACCAAGGTTTCCCCGGCAGGCGGGCGCAAGCCTCTGCCTGCGGCCGCGGGGTGGGGAGCGGCCTCTCCGGGGATCTCCGCCGGGAGATAAGGGATACACATTCTCCCGGAACACACCGACCGGGATGAGAGGAGCCGAGGGGCGGGGAAGGACCGGGAGGCGGGGCCGGGGCGGGGCGGCCGCGCCGGGAGGGCTCTGTGCAGTTCCGGGCTCCTCAGCACAGGCGGCGAGCTGGCGGAGAACAGGGGCCGTGGGCAGTGCAGCTCCTGGTGCGCGTCCTGCGGAGGGTGACAGAGCTGGTCAAGGGACTGGAGCATCTCTCTTACGAGGAAAGGCCGAGGGAGCTGGGCCTGTTCAGCCTCGGGAAGAGACGACTGAGAGGGGACCTCATTAATGTGTATAAATATCTAAAGAGGGGGTGCCAGGAGGATGGACCAGGCTCTGCTCGGTGGTGAAACAGATGCATAGGAAGTTCCACCTGAATATGAGGAAGAATTCCTTTCCTGTGGAGTGGCTGCGCCCTGAAACAGGTTGCCCAGAGAGGCTGCGCACAGTGTGGAGGTGCCCCAGGAAGGCCTGGGCGCGACGCTGTGCCGTGTGCTCCGGGACGGCCCTGCCCGGCCAGGGCGGCACCGCTGACCCCCCGTGTGCTCCGGGACGGCCCTGCCCGGCCAGGGCGGCACCGCTGACCCCCCCGTGTGCTCCGGGACGGCCCTGCCCGGCCAGGGCGGCACCGCTGACCCCCCGTGTGCTCCGGGACGGCCCTGCCCGGCCAGGGCGGCACCGCTGACCCCCCCGTGTGCTCCGGGACGGCCCTGCCCGGCCAGGGCGGCACCGCTGACCCCCCGTGTGCTCCGGGACGGCCCTGCCCGGCCAGGGCGGCACCGCTGACCCCCCGTGTGTTCCGGGACGGCCCTGCCCGGCCAGGGCGGCACCGCTGCCCCGCCGTGGCCCCGCCCCGCGGCCCTCAGGGGGCGGCTCGGCCCCACCCACACCGTGGAGGGGCGGGGCTAGCCTGGCCGGGGCGGGGCTAGGTGGGGCGGGGCTAGGCCGCCGGTGCTAACCATGGCGGCGCGGCTGCGGGCGGGCGCTGCCCGGCGCCGTCGCGGGCCGATGACGCGGGCGGTCGGTGCGGCGTTTCCCGGTGTCGCTGTTCCCGGTGCGATGGGATTGCGCGCCCCGCGCTGATGGCGGCCCGCCGGACACCGCACGGCTCCGCGCCGGAGCCCAGGGTGGATGAGTTCACCGTCCCCGCCGAGAAGAGCTGCCTCCTGGAGCGCAGCCGCGACCGCATCGAGGGCTTGTTCGAGGTGCGGCTGGCCGTGCTGGGGGCGCAGGGGGACTGGCGGCGCGCGCTGCAGCCGCCCAACGCCAGCGCCAGGATCTGGGTGCAGCTGGCGGGCTGCACGAAGGCCGTGAGCAGCGCCAAGGTACGGGCCCGGCGCGCGCTGGGGCCGCGGGGTTGGCGGGCGGAGGGCCCGCCGGAGCGGCACGGCCGGGCCGCGGGCTGCGGGAGGAAAGGGTGGGGAAAAGCCGAGTGCCCCAGGAGGAAACAGAAACGGCGCTGCTTTGGCAGGTGGGTGTGTGCCCGGTGCCAGGGAGTCTCCCGCCGTGTTGACATAAGTGCAGGGAATAAAGCGAAACAACTCAGCTGGGAAGTGCGAAGTTCACGGGCACGGCGTTATGAAAGAGTGCAGCCCGCAGCTGAGGGGTAGCACCGGTGGGGATGGGCCGAGTTTTCTTTTAAATCGAGATTAAAATGTTTCGCTTTCCTTTTTCCTCCCTGAGTCAAGAAATTTCTCGGAGTTGTTTGGGCGTTGCCATGTTTTGCCTTGCTTCCCTTATTCTGTGGCATTTAGTAGCTCGTTGGCAAAGCTCTCAGTAACGCTTAACGCAGCTATTATTTCCTTCATGTAGAAGTTGTCAGACCTGAACAGCTTCACCAGGCTGGAGCAGATAGTTCTCTTTTCAACCCAGCTCTGATGCGTTAAGAGATCTGCCTGTGCAGGTTGTGTCTCAGAGGGGGCAGCAGTTGCTGTGGAGTGTCTTCAGGCGTGTTAAATGTCTTGCACAACTAACCTTTGGGGGGAGTTTCTCAGCAGTGATGCTGAAATTGATATTACTCATAGTGAGCCTGGCAAGTACAGCTGTTTGAATCATGTGATGAGAATTTTGGTGTGAGCCATAGCTAGGCTGAAGGTCCCTTTCCAACCCAAAATCTCGATATGTGGGTGTTGGTCTGTTTGTTTAACTACGCTGGGATGTTCATGGGGATCCGGAGCGTGTGTTTTGTGACTGATTTCAGACTTGGCAACCCGCTTTCAAAAACTTGATTCGTTAACTGTGTCCTGCACGTGTTCCTCAACATGTAATGTACTTCCTTACACTGAGCTGTAAGGAAAATACTATGAATATATAGGGGGTTGAATTATTTGACTCTGAAATTTACACTAAATCAATTTGCCTGGGCTCAGACAATCCAGAAAGTGTTACAAGTAGCTGTTCTTCTCCAGGCATCTGCAGCACAACTTCCCTTTTTTCCAGGAAATTAAAGCACAAGAAATAAATAGCACAAGATTTCCGTTTTCTAATTGCTGCTTTTCCTAAGAAGATAAAAAGAAATATTTTCTACTTTAAAGGGTATAAGAAACTTGATTTCTCTTATTGGTAGAGCAGTTTTCAGACACTGTCTGGAGGAATTATTGTATAGAAAGTACAATTGTTTGTCTTCCCTTGAAAGGTTTGGCGGTAGCAATTTGTGTTATAATTTATCAGTCACAGGTACGTTCTCTGTTGCTACTTAGTTAAAAACAAAAGTTCCTAGATTTAGAGTAGCCATTTCACCAATTATGTTATCTTGTTGCTCTGCATAAGCAGTCGTGTGATGAGTAGGGCGGGGAGAGTAACCCTGTGGGTTTTGCTTCGGAAGCACTTTGTGCTGATATGCTCCTGAGGCAGCCTGCCTTGGTACCCGTGATGATGTAACTCGAGGTGATAGGAAATGGGCTTACGTTATTCATTACCTTGTGTTGGTTCTCTGCTCCATTTAAAAAAATTAATGTTTGAGAGTAAATATACGTAGTATACTTGGGATTCTGCAAATACAATGACTGCAGCTTAGAAGTTGGTTTCACTATATTAAGGAATTTTAAGCACAGAAGGAGGCAGTTTGGGAAAAATAATGCTATCTGAAAGAATAAATAGTATACTGTATTGACAGAGTTTTGAACTCTTGACGCATTTAAAACAAGGTAGTATAGTGAATTTACCGATTTACCTGTATAGCTTACAGGTGGCAGAAATAGCATTGGGGCAGTTTTGTGTTTTGGTTTGTTTTGGTTTTTTTTTTTGTTTGTTTGTTTTTTTGTTTGTTTGGTTTTTTTTGTTTGTTTGTTTTGGGGGTTTTTGTGTGTGTGTGTTTGAAAATCTTGAGCTTCAGAAACACAGAAGTATCTGGAGCCTGGAGTTTTCCCAGTCAGTAACAAAAATATAGGGTGGCTGCTGGCATGATAAGCCTTTGGAAATGTACTTTGAAACGTTTTAGAAGTTCAAGTTTATGAACTCTAGTGAAAGGCATTTGTTCATGAAGAGTTCTCTTTGACCAAAGAATAGGGATAGGAAAATAAATCTCTTCTGACAGTCTTTTAAACTGTTTGATCTACAAATTAAGTTACTTGTTACTATCAGATATAAACAAGAGAATGTAAAAGAGCCTTCTATGAGATCTATTTTAAATAATTTTAGATATTGGTGTTTTATTTCTATTGTCGTGTTTACTGGTAGTGTTTACTTTCTGACATGACTTTTGCTAAGTTTGCTTTGTTTTCTAATGTTTCTGTCCATTACTGACTTAGTAAAAACCAACTGGATATATTAGGTTTTCACAACTATTCACTCTGCTCTTTTTCTCCTCTTAGGAGTACATCAAGGGAGTGTGTGAACCTGAGCTAGAAGAAAAGGAGTACTACCCAAAGGACATGCACTGCATCTTTGTTGGTGCACAGAGCCTGTTTCTCAACAGTCTTATTCAGGATACCTGTGCTGACGTAACAGTGCTGGAAATGGGATTGCTCAGTATTAAGGGGGGTGCAGAAGCTGTTGTTATGGCTCAAAGTCATGTGCAGCAGTTTGTGACGCTTTTTGAGAATAATGAAAGCTTATTAAATGACAATGAATCAGAGATTAAAAAGCAGTTCAGACAATTTGTGGAAGCACATGCAGATAAGTATACAATGGATTTACTGATTTTGCCTAGTGCACTAAAAAGAGAGCTCCTAGCTCTCACCCACGCTGCTGTTTCTGGAGGGAAGATTGACATCATAGATCTCACAGGCTCTGAAAGCCCACAGCAGCTTGGACAGAACAGCACCTCCAAAGTCATTGCTGCAAACAGAGAAGGAGGGGCAGATGGGGAGGAAGCAAGAAGCAGTGCTGGCACACCTGTAACTGAGCTTACAAAGCAAATAGACACTGTGTTTTCTGATGCTTCTGAAACAAGATTTGTTCCCATAAAGGACCCTCTGTTAGAAGCAGTGGCCTTTAAAGAGAGGCAGTCATGTAAAAGAAGGTCCTCTGATGAGGAGGAAAGGCTCCCTAAAAAGCATTTATCTTTGGAAAATGATCAACAAGTGAAATCTACTTTACACAAGAATCCTTCGGACCCTGATGCAGTTATTGATCTGGTTTTGGATAGCTGCAATGAATCAGATGGTCCTACTTACTGCCTTAAAGAAGGTGATGCTCTCACTGAGGAAATGGAATATAAGATTCTTGTGAACTTTTTCAGAACAATGGGATATTCCCAAAATATTGTAGAAAAGGTTATCGGTATCCTTGGACAATCTGTGGAACCATTAATATTGCTAGAAGAAATTGAAAAGGAAAATTTGAAGTTTAAAAAAGAGCATGAACAGTCGTCTCAAAAGCCTAGAACTGTCAGTCTTCCTTTAGGAAATAATGTAAGTAACTCACAAAAGCTAGAAGACAAAGGCATTTCTAGGAATAAAAGTCCACTTAAATCCAGTCATACTTCAAAGGAGGCAAAAAATGAGTATCACCAAGTAAGAGATGATCCAGACACACAAGTTGATGCAGAAGATAAAAAGCATAGATTGGTATGCAAATCTTCTTCCCCTCCCAGCAAAAATTCAGTTCTGGGCTATAAACAGAGAGATGTTTATGGCCCTGGTAAGAATCACAACTCAAGGTCAAGCAATATAGAAACTGATGGTGGGGTAACTTTCAGCACTGTGCACGCTGGAGCTCTGAAAGATGTTGGCTTTGTAGCCAGAGGGAGCTCAGATGTGCAGCATATCTCAAGTAAGAGTAAAACTGCATTTCAGCAAAAATCTGCAGGGCCCTCAACAGTACAGAACAGCCAGCCTGGTTCTGAGGAGCAGCTGGGACACTGCAGCTCTTCTCAAGCAAGGCCTCTCCACCAACGCCTCTCCCAGGCCTCACATTGTGACAATCCTGTCCCAGACCGGTTGCTGTCTTCACAAAAAAACCCTTCAAATCCAGACAGAGACACAGTGGGACCACATCCAGATCATTCAGTTACTGGAGTTCAAAGATTTTTGGACTCTCTGAAGAAGCCATACAAACTGGAGTTGATAAATGAACCTGGAAAACCATATTTAAAACATATTATTATTGATGGAAGCAATGTTGCAATTTCGTAAGTATAGTTCTTTTCTATCCCTTTATTAACAGTTCAATGAACTTTCAGATTAAATGGGGGCTAAGAGGTTTCGGTGGCATGTGTTAAGGTTTTGCTAGCTAGGTTTTTGGTGTGCATGTACACAGTTGTGCCATTTCAGAGTAACCTGGTTTGAATCACCAGTGTTCAGCTCAATATAACATTTCAGTCAGAAGTAATCTCAAGGCAAGCTTTGCTCTGTTGCAGTCAGTATTATGCATGACATTTAATTTGCTTTGCCAGTGCCTAACAACGAGGCTAAATTATTGTCAACTGAAGTGGTTTAGATTTGGGGAATTTTTTTGTGCTCTTAACATCTTGTAGTTTTAAAATGGAGGTTGTCATTTATTAGTAACATGTTTCTCCTCCAACAGCATTGCATTGCTTGGATTCTGTTATTTTTTGCAAATGTATATATGTATATTTGCCAACTATAGTGCATTACTGAGGTTACAATATTTCTTTTATGCACCCCAGGGGATTGGCTGCACACACATCACATTGTAGTAGGGCGTAGTAGCTGGATGCTATTGGCATACAATCCCCAAAAAGGTTATATAACAACTGGTGCCTTCTACCCAACCAAATGAAAATTGGTTACGAAAGGTAAAGGACAGAGCTGCCTCAAAACAGCAGACCCATTGACATATTAAAATGTCCTACCAAATAAACAATGCTTGGGGGCCAGTTGGTTTGATCATGTAGGTATTCTGCAGCTTTCCTTTGGCTGAATAAAGCCTCATTTGTTTCTTGCAGTTCATAAAGTGAAGAGTTGTTTGCAAAATTGCTTTGAAATGTTCTCAATTCTACTTCTTGATACCTTGAGACTGCTTCCATGCAGTTCAGTTCCATGCTGGTTCAGGGTTCTTATGGCCTCCTTTTTTGATGGGGGTGTGGGTATTCATGCATCACCCACTTGCTTAGATTAATGCTATATGGGTTTCTGAATCAGTGCTTGCCTCGTGTCATAAGTCTAGAAAACTGCAAAAGCTGTATAATAGTTTCTTTTGGCACGTGCAGCACGTTGTTCTGTTATCACATTGTGTCAGGTTGCTTGTGGAATGAGAGAATGCCCAGAGTTTACCCTAGCTGCTAACAAATATTTTTTTAATTACCTGGTTTTGTATGCTGAAAACAGGCCTTTTGAGGGCAGACTGCCACATCCGGTTGTTGGATAATTTAAATTTTATTAAAATGTGGAAGAAACTCAGAATGAAAGAATAACTGAATGGAATTATATCTTCCTAGAATAGTTTGTAAATAATATGTACTTGTGGTGGTGCATCCAATCAGAAACATCAGGTGCCCAAACAAGGTTGGAAACAAAGGGTAAGCGATTGTCCTTTGAAGCCTTGGTAAACTATTTACCTGAATCATAGCCCAAGTGGAGGGGCACCATTGTTCCCACGCTTTGGGGAAGAAAGCCCGGGAATTACCGAGTTGGGTTGTGGCTGGGGGGACACTTTCTGCTGGCCAAAGTCAGTCATCCTGTAGCCAGCAGTGCTGAGTCCCTTTGAGCTCTCCTGTGGCTCAGCAGCTGTGCCAGCACCTCCTTGGAGTGGGACACTGCTCAGAGCTCACAAATCCTCACCTTTGTCATACTCAGAGGACTGTTCCTGGTGGCAAAGCTCCCACACACCTCACCATGCTTCCTGACGTGTGACCCTTTTCTGTTGGGAAATGCAAAGGAACTTGGTGTGAGCATTTCACTGATGCTGAGTGCAATTTGTTGATGAGTTCCTTTAGCACAGACAATTAGGCCTTCACATTGTGTACCTGTGTGTATGAATTGATCATGGTATGAATGGTACAGCCTGAAATCTACAGTTAAGTCGTTGTTAAAACTATAGCGAACCCTGTGGAATTGCTTTGTCAATGCTTAAGTACTCGATGATTAAGTGCTACTAAACCCTTTTGCACCCTTATCTTTGCATCCATATGCTTTGCATCCTCACCCTTCTGCACTCCTGGCTTCTGTGTAAATCAGTACAAACTGAGTCTAATTTGATCTTTGTATGCCTTAACCTGTGCAGTAAATAATGAACTTACTCTTCACAAGTTCACAAGAGTGAATGTTGCCTTCAAACTCTGTAAAGCCATATTTTCACAAATTCATAGCCAACCCTACCTTTGGCAATACCTTTGACAGTGTTCCTTTAAGCAGCCAAACCACTCATTTGTGACAGTATTTACTTTAGGTACAAACCAAAGGGAAAATGTTACATGTCCCAGAAGGCAACCTGCTCTTTGCTGCTTGTGATCATCTTTTGTTTAATTTAGGAAATACCTTTGTGTAGGGTCTTCACAGGATTTTAAAGAAATGGGACAGGCAAAACCAGTATTTGCAATGGCATTTGGAGAACAGATGCAATCTTTGAGGTGGATATCTTGAAAAGACCATCTTGCTGTGGTGATTTGCTGTCCCTTCAGGTGTTTAACTCAGTTAAAACATTTCTTATTTAATTTAGTTTAGGGGTGACATATTTTTTCATATTATAGCTTACATTAATTCTACATGTTATTTGATAAAGTTGCTGCTATTTGTATGCTTTTTTAAGTTGCAGCAGAGCAGGATTTTGTGGTCATTCAGGACAAATTTGGAGCTGGTTTTCTAAGCTTCAAAACCCTTAAAAAAACAGTACATGGTAGTTCAGCCAGTTTGGAGCTCTAAAACAGGAGGATGAACAAGCAGAGAAAGCATAAATTTTGACATGAGTATTGAGACCTCTGCATTTCTTGGAGTCCAGTTGAGAACCATAATTCATTTAAAATATTTTAACAGAATTTTCCATTTTAATGCATTGGATGCCTAACTTGAACTTTAAATGCAGTCATCATCCCACTAATTTATGTCCTAGAAGATTTACTAAGAGTAACCTTTCTATGAAAATTGCCTTCCTTTTTTGACTGTTCTTGACACCAAGAATGCTTATTTTTATTAACGGCAAGTGTGGCCTAGTATTTTTTTTTTCCTCTGAAAATTCTGTCAGTAAGTCAGGTTTTTTTGCCTTTTATCTTTCGGATACAGCTTATTCATTTTTCTGCCTTTCTACATAAAGAATTCCTCTCAAAATTCAGAGAACCTTAATATATTTACATTTTGATAAACATACTTTTTACAGAATTTACAAAACTAGAAAAGGATAAATGAATGCTAACAAAGGCTGAGTTTCACTGTAAAATATTTCCATGGAATTCTTTTAAAGACCATTATGTTGGGAAGATTTCTTGGTAGGTTAAACTAGGGTTTAAAGATAGGATTCTGTTCAAAACTAACAGGGCTTACTATTAGGGTTAAGAGTTGTTGGTTAATAATAAGTTAATAGCACTTGCCTATTATTTGGGAGACTGGTTTTAAAAAGGAATACCATTTGCTCACTTGTTGTTAAAAGTACTTTGTAGTGATTTGACATCTAATTCAAAACATAGATTATACACTATTTTGCAAGAAATGCTTTGGCTGTTCATGCCATCAGTGCTCAATCAGTGTGTCTTTTCTAGGGAATCGTATCTTTGTTTTGTCTAAGTGTAGCCTCTACATGGAAATGCTGCAGTCTGATTAGACATTTAATTGTGCTATGTGTTAAACAGGCAAATACGGTCATTGGGATCATTGTGGGAAGTGCCTCACAAAGTCATCAGTTCAAGTCTTTGTGTCCCCTCATTTTAGGCAGTTGCTGGTTTTTCTGGAAAATCACTTAAGGGAGTTGTAAAAACAGATAATGAATATCTTATTTTTAAATGGAGAAAAAAGATTAATGCCAAAATACAATGTTTTGAAAATATTTCTTCAAAGAAATTACATTATTTGCTTGAGAACAATTGTTCAGACTGTTGAAATGAAGAGAGGGGAGGCCCTAATAGTTATCAGAGAGCTGTTCAGATGTAATCCTTGGTAATCAGTTGAACCAAAGGTGTTCTATTTTGTAGTAGGATTGTATTTGGAACTACTGCAATATTGCATTGTTATAGTTTTAATCTATACTCAGCAGAGTTCAGAAACCATCACTATGGGCCTCTTTTTTAGACTACTGCAATATTGCATTGTTATAGTTTTAATCTATACTCAGAGTTCAAAAACCATCACTATGGGCCTCTTTTTTAAAGTGAAACCTGCTTCTGATTACTCCATTGTTGTTGTGCTCAGGAAACTGAAAGGAGACTGAGCTATAAAGTTGCAAAGTGATGTATCTGTTATCTTCTTCTGCTGAAGAGCTCTTTCCATTTAGAAGATTCCTTATCTTTAACACCAGTCTGCCTTTTCTTTTCCTGAGGCTCTATGTGGGACTTTCAGCTTCACTTTGCAAGGTTTTGTTCCATTTTCTTTGTTTTCCTGGTAGTAAAACCCTAGTGAATTTAATCTCCCTTCTTTTTGTTTCACCCTCAGTCATGGTCTAAGGAAATTCTTCTCCTGCAGAGGAATTGCAATAGCTGTTGAATACTTTTGGAAACGTGGCCACAGGAATATTACTGTGTTTGTTCCACAGTGGAGAACAAGACGTGACCCTTCCATTACAGGTGAGGGACATTTCCTAATGTTTCCTTAATTAAACCAGACTGTAACTATTTCTTTGGGACTTCTGTGAAGAATGAATGGAGAAGGAATGTTTCATCAAATGTTGAGCAGGAGCAGTCTGGCTGCTCAGCATGAGTAATTGGCTTTCCATACACAGTGTGAGACCCTGAAATGCTCTTTAGGCTAACAGGTGTGCCATCGGTGGAGGACTTTTGGGGTTGTTTTTTTTTTTTTGCTCTTTAATTTCTAGTTTTGAGCTCTTCCCCATTTTTATATGGGGAAGAAGCAATTCTTCAGCTATCAATGACATTTCTATAGCTTAATTGGTACAAAAATAGCCAATCTTCTCTCTGGTAATTTTGTCTCAGACTAATTGTCAAATCATGTTTTAACAGAGCAGAATTTCTTAACGCAGCTCGAGGATGTTGGAATATTGTCTTTAACCCCTGCAAGGATGGTTTTAGGAGCAAGAATTGCAGCTCATGATGACAGGTACAGAATATACGTAGTTTTAAAGTCTTCTTAAACGTCTGGCTAATGGTTATAAAAGCTCAATATTTCATGAGCAGTTCCGTTAGCTAGTTCTGCAACCTTTCTAGACAGAGATATGCATCCAACTTAAGACTGAGTTTTACATCTGTTACATTATTTCACTGTTGTAGGAAACGCTGCTATGTATTCAGAAAGTCATGGAGCACTACAAATTTTCATGGCCATTAAAAAAAAAAAAAAAAAAAAAAAAGGCTGTCTGAAGAAATTAATCCTCCAGTAATGTTTTCATGCTTTCCTGGTCATCACTCTGTCCCTGAATTGCCTTTTATTCTTGGGGCACAAATCAGCTGCTGATCAGATAGTATTTAGCTCCATTTTCTTCTTGATGCCATGTTGGCATACAGACATTTGCTGTGTGTTTGGAACAGTGTATTTGTAACAATGCATAAGCCAGTGAACTTCCAAGTTCATTTGACCACCAAAGATCAACTTTAAAATGTGGGGATCATCTGTCAGTGAACAAGACGCAGTAAGCTTTAGGAGTCTGTGGGAGTTTCCTAATACTTCATTAATGTTTTATATATACCCAGCCTTTCATAAGAAATGCTCTGGCAGTGCAGTTGAGATTACTGTGGAAATAAGTGTTGTAATAACTTATTTGCACTTTTGTTAAAAGCATGCACTTTCATTTAAAAGGATACCATCCATTATCTTGTGGCTAAAATTGTTTCAAATGACAAAAAATGTATTTTCAGAGACATTATAACAGAAAGCAAACATTTTTTTCTTAATAAATCAGTAGTTGTTTTGTCATAGTTTAACAGACGACTTCTTAAAAAGTGTTGACAGAGCAAACCACTAATATGCAGAACACTGACTTGCAGAACACAGACATTAATGCTAAGCAAAAAAGTGTATGGAAATGAGTTTGTGTTGGATTGTGTAATAACTGCACAAAGCATGCCATTTACCTGTCCAAATATTTAGATCATGGGGTTTGGGGGCTTTTGCTTCTATGGGTTTGTTTTTATGTTGTTTTTTTTTTAATGGGGAAGAAAACATCCCATAAAGACTGCTGCACTATATAAGTGCATGCTACCGAAAACATGGTTGTAAGTTTAAGGTGGGTAAAACCAGTAATTTCCTGGTAATCAAGGTGCTTGTTTTCATGCAAATAGATTACTTTGGGGTGATGAAATGTTTCATTTTCTAAGTCTTTGGATTGTTTTCAGCAAAACAAACTTAGTGATCTTTGAAATTAATTTTACAGATTTTTATTACACCTTGCTGCTAAAACTGGAGGTGTTATTGTGACTAATGATAACTTCAGAGAATTTGTGACAGAGTCACTTGCCTGGAGAGAAATTATTCAAAAAAGGTAATTATTGAATTTTTGTGAAGTCTTAAAAGGATGGCTGTCCTTGCAGTTGTAGGCATTCTACCGACATGTGGGATTTTGCTATCTTTAATTAATCTGTCATGCAATTCTGGTAGATCCAAATAAAATATTCTGTGACTCACTGTGGTGATTCATGGCCCTACAATTGTGTGTTGAGTAGTCTAATATCCGTGTTATTCATATATTCTGTCATGTATGTGTGTTAATTGCTCTCATAAGCAGGAGCTTGGTGTAACAGCATGTGTGTCACATCTGAAGGTCAGTGTTGAATTTGTTTGAGCAGTCCACTTTCACAGCCCCTCTTGTCTGAAAGCTCATTTTTTTCAGAGAGACATGATAGCTGATGAGGATGTAGTGTCACTTTTAATTATTCAGAATCAATCACTCTTTACTCAGGTGGGACAAATTGTCACAGCTAAACAAAATGAGCTCTTGTAGCGTGTCCATGTAGCCATTTCCCTGCAGTTGTTCTTTGGGTTTAGATGAGTTCACTTAGTTACCAGATATCCCTGCTTCATCTTGTGGAGTTTGTTTCTGGTTGTTTCTTCTTGTTTGTTGGGTTTGGGTGTTGGGGATTTTTTTTTCCAGTTTCAGTTAAATCAGTTATTTTACTGCTGAGGTGTGATCTTCTGTTAGTAAAATTTCCTACTAATCCCTCAGTGTCCCAGACATTTTCTGAGGGTACATGTGTTACAGTGGCTGGAGTCAGTATAGCTCTAATGAAATAAGGAACTAAAAACTTGCCCTGGATTCTCACAATATAGCTGTGAGACCATGGAATTGATGCTGGCTAATCATGTAGACGTTTACATAATTTCTTGAGTAAATTCTACCCAATTTAGGTTCTGTTCTTCCACAGAACTTTAGCAAGAATACTTGGTGTGGCATCTTGAGTCTGTGGTTTTTTAAAAGCTTATGTTAACATCTGGTATTAGTTTTACTTCTGGGGAAATTCCATTGTACCGAATCTTCTCCTTGCAGACAAATTTCAGTTGAACTGGGTTGTTGTTTTTTTGGGTGTTTTTTTATGCTGATTTCTACCTGTCCCAGAGTGATTGCAGAAAAAAAGTTTTGTGTCTTAACTGTAAGCATTTAATGCCATATTTGCTAGTTGTGTGGCTTTCTGCTAACACAGGCTTTTCAGCTACATGACTGAAGATCCTTGCAAGGAAAAGGAGTTAGAGCAACCAAGAAATCTCTGATCACCTAGAAAATTCCACAGTGATCTTGTTGCAAGTCTTCTGTAATAAAACGGTTGCTGTAAAAAAAGAAGAAAAAAAAAAAAGGGGGGGGGAAGCTCTGTTCTGCACTGTAGTAGGGAGAGTTCACAGCTCCCATGGAATTAGACGGATTAGACAGGAAATGCTGGTTGTGTCTTAGTTGGGTTTACTAATTAGTCTTCAGGGACTCCTGATGTGGTGTCTACTCTAAGGAAATTCGTCCTGTGCTACAAAGGTGAAGGACAACAAGGGTGAAATACCTTGTTATTTAAAAGAACTCTCTTGCAGGTTGCTCCAGTACACTTTTGCTGGTGACATATTTATGGTTCCTGATGATCCTTTGGGAAGAAATGGACCCAGATTAGATGACTTCCTTCGAAGTGAAGGCTGTTCTAGGTATAAACACTGTTTTCACTTTTGTTTGACACAGTTATTTCACATTTGAAATAAACTGTTCTCCTGCTTCACTCACACACTGTAAAGCACAGTAAAGTTAAGCAGGACCACTGTAGTATGTAGCAGTTTAGCAAAAAAAAAGAAAAAACAACACGTTTTTCCTGTTACTTCAGTTCGTTCAGAAACTTCTGGTGACATTTGCCTCTGAGATCTCTCTGAGAACTGAGATAAGTATGACAAAAGCTTCTTCTGAGATTTGGCTGTGGTGGCTTTCATGCACGGGTGTGTTAACAGCACCCAGAGGTGCCAGAGATGTGGGTATCTGTTGTTAATTACACTGATGTTATCTAAGACACCTTGGTTGGTCACTCCTTCATAGTGGGACAATAGGTGCTACAAACACCCTGCACTCAGGTTACAGGAGAGACACTTCACCTCATGGTTGAGGGTACCTTACTGTTGCCAAAACAATTTTGGAGGCATTGTTATTAAATATGTTTGTATTAGAGTAATATAATTGTAATAATTATTGTCATTATAAATATTAATGAACATAAATTGTTCATTTAAGATCAATGTACTTTTTAAATGTGCACATATTTAAAGTATGAATTTGCTTTGCATGAACTGCCAAGATTTGAGGGTTAGTTTGCTCTTTTGAACAAGAAAATAATATTCTGTTCTTTCACCAGTTTAGGAATTAGAAATGCTAACAATTCTGAGGAGTATTGAGAGGGCTTTTAAAAACAAGGGAGGTAACTTAAAAATTTTCAATAGAAAAGGGAAGCTATTCTTAAGGATTAATACAAAGAATAAGCAAGAATCTCATCTGTTGTAGGTATTTGAGGAAAGTAGAACATTTTTATACCATAGATTACAAGCTGATTTGAAAATAAGCGTGTTGACATTAAAAAAGCAAGTGCAGTGCTAGAACTCCAGAAGAAAATGCTGAATATTCAAGCTCTTGTACAAAACCTTTGAGATGTTATTTGGAACACTGTGTTTTACCTGCCTGTATTTGAGAGAAATAAAATGAAAACTGAGCGTTCTGAGGTAGGTGAGTGTGATGATCATAGAAATGGAGAGAGTCTTGTGAGAAGACCACAGAAGAGCTTGGTTTCTTATGTGTAAATTTGGAACTGGAACTAGGCTTTGGTGTTTGTTTTGGGGTTGGGCTGGGGCAGGGGGGGACCAGGAAGAACAGAGAAAAGCTGCCAGTGCCAAGAGTTAATTTTGTTCCTTCCCTGTGACTTCTCTACGTGATTTAAATGATGCAGAAAGCATAAATGGCACCATGAACAAGATCAGAAACTGGCAGAAGCTTCAGCAATTAGAAAACCTTTCCATACTGAGTAACTGGAGGTGTCATAACCCAAATGCTTTTAAAATAGAGCTCTGTAATTTAGGTACTGTTTCACTTGGTGGTAGGAAACTAGACTGTAACATGAGTTCCACTTCACATTTCTCTGGTATCTGCTGGCATGTGAAGTAGACTGACCTTCATATTTTGTAGTGCTAGCAGTGCACAGAGTAGCAAAACTTTTTCAAGTCTGAAATTAATTGCAATAATTAAAGAGTATTCAAATCCTGAGATTGCTAAAACATCTTCATTGCCCTGTTAAGGATACCATACAAGGGAAGCAAGGCTCTGATCTAAATATGAGCACAGCTCAGTCCAGAGCAGAAGTACATGAGGAATAGTCTTGTGAAGCAGTCTTGGAACTGATCTGTCAGCATTTTCACATGCTCCACGTCAGTGTACGTGTATTCAATGTATCTTTTTATCTATACCTTCCTAAAATTTGCTGTAATCTGCCAAGTAAAGGACTCGCAGCATATTGAGGCTATTCCTGGGTATTAATGTTAATTGTGCCAGATTCGTATATTGAGATCTCTTATGCCTCCTGTTTTGTTTCACTTTGAAAGAATGCTTGTCATTTGATTCCAGTCAATAACTGGCTGAGCAGCAGGGAAGTTTAAGTTATACACACTTGTATTTTCTCTCTCATATACAGAGAGAACTACAGCTAGCATGTCCTTTAGCTTAATTAATTAAAAATTTTTATTTTGTTCCACAGAGATTCCTGGTCAACACACAAGGCTTTACAGAGCAGTGGACAATATTCTTCTGAGACACCCTCTTTCCTCCCCAATGTGAGCAGTAGCTGTCGACAGCCTGGGGGCAGAGTGCTCTATGATCATTCACTGGAAGAAAACACAGAGCCTTGTCCAGCAATTCCACCACAGAGATCTCCCTCAGAAACAGCCCAGCTAAGAGAAGCCCTGATCAAAATTTTTCCTGACTATGATCAAAGACAGAAGATTGATCAAATACTATCTAATCATCCCTTCATGAGAGATCTTAATGCACTGTCTGCCATGGTGCTTGACTGAATGCTTACACAGCTTTTATATCACAACTGCTCTAACGATTATCAATGTGAAGAAAAATGTCGCTCTTTTATGTTACTTTGTGAATATTAAAAACCTAATTTTATTTGTATAAACAAAGATATTTTTGTGTATGTTCTGTTGCTAATAGATGCCTGGTTTTGGTAAATTAAAAACTGCTGCTACTACAGATTTTTAGTAATATTTTCTATGAAAAAAAACTCCAAGTCTTCTGCTTCTCTTGAATTGCTTGTTAAAGCAGTGGCAGTACTCCCTTTTGAGCAGTGTGTTAGTACTTTTTACAGAACCCTTTTCCTGGAAGGCAGAATTCCAGCCAGTTTGAGACCCGCCTGTGGGAGCAGCTGCCAGCAGGTGGCGGCTGTGGGCCCGTGAGGAGCCCCGGGAAGGGCGTGAAAATCCAAGAAAATCATTTGCTCTTTCAGGCTGGAAGTGCTGTGTGGGGTAGTTAGAAGAGAAAATGTAAATTCACAGCTCTCAGGGAGAAGGTGTTTTGAATGCTTTAAAAGATCTGAAATTACACTTGTTTTTAAATTGGAAATTATCTTGACTATCAGTATTCTTTCAGCATAGTTTTAATATCTTTAACAATTGCACTGATGCCATGTCTGTTCTAAGTGTGAATGGTGTGGTGTTAACAGAATATGACACTGTCAGTGTAGAAATGGCTTTTTTTGTGCAGAGCTGCAGCTGTAGTCAACTCCGCCCCTTTAGATCTGTTCTGGGATCTATCCCAAAAGTAAGGGGCAAAAAAGGAAGATAATTTATGAAAGCTGACCAATAGGACTGCTTTCTAGAGCAGAGCAAAGTTAAGATTGTCTGTATTTCTGTACACACTTAAGTCTGTTACTCCTTCCAAAAGGAGTTAACAAGGTGCCAAGGTGTTCACATGAGTAAAATCAAATTAGACTGTAAAGAAAAATGTGTGCTCCAGAGCCTACATTCAACTTCTGATGTACTGAGTCTTACCCTAAAGCATTAGTGGCTTTCTCTCCAGTTCCATAGGCTATGAAATCACTCTTTGTTTATATGCAAAAGAGCTGAAATATACTTGAGGAACTGGGGTTTTTGGAAGACTGTTTGAAAGACTTTTGAATGACTTTTTTTTGGATGGTCCTTTCATGTTTTGTGAAGTCAGAAACAGAAGGCAGTCTTGCTCTTCCCTGAACACAAGCAACCTGAAAGAGAATTGCAGCAAGAACAAAAATGTTTTAGGAACAGTAGTTACAGCTTCTCAAAAATACAGGTGATGATGAAGAGAGGCCTTTAATGTTTCTGCATCCAAACAGACAAATCTAAATTATTCTTTATTCTATGTAAGTGAGTGGGAGATTTGCTATTCAGGTGGGCAGAGTCCTTCTGACCAGCACGTGTTTGCCAAGAACTAGTTCTTACCTGTGAAGTATTATGTAATCTCCGAGTTCTAATCCCATAAAAACTTAGGCAGGTTCTTAAAGCCTGTTTCACTGACTATAGTTGGTATAATTTTAATAAATAGTAAGAGAATAAATCACCAGCTCCCTCACACTGCCTGGGGGGCCTGTGTACATGTGTGAACATGCTCCTTGAAGAACTTGTCTTCTTTTCATTAGGTATATCCCTGATTGCATATGTTCTTTTCACTTTATAGGTGCTAGTGTGGGGATAGAAATCTATTGTAATCTTTATTTCATAGAGAATTGCTTCATGGAGCTGGAAGGGACCCACAAGGATCATCCAGTCCAACTCCTGGCCCCCCACACTTCAACAATCCCACCCCCTGCCTGAGAGCCTTGTCCAAATACTTCTCGAGTTCTGTCAGTCTTGGGGCTGTGCCCACTTCCCTGGGGAGGCTGTTCAGTGCCCAACCACCCTCTGGGTGAAGAGCTTTTTCCTGATCTAACTTAAATCCCCCCACTCATCTTCAACCCTCAAGTCCTGTCACGAGAGCGAAGAGTTTAGTACTCTTTCTGTATTTCTTTCTCCAAAGTCTGTTTTTGAAGCATGCCTCATGCTATTCAACCTTGGTTGCTGCAAAAGCACATCTAGAAACAGTGTTTGGAGTGGAAAATACCAGGGACTTTCCCTTACGTGTGAGTTACCCAGCATTTCCCTCTCCCTCCCTTTAAAGGGGTAAAGTCCTGAGACTGATTCCTGGTATGAGGCCAAATGCAGGATTTCTGTGACAAATACAGCATTTTACTGTTAAAATGAGTGTTTTTTCTTACGTCTTAAGGGCATGTAATGTAAACAATTTCATCGCAGTTGTCAACAAGCAAAGTTCAGATGAATCCCAGTAGTCGGTGCTAGTGCTGCTGTTTTCCTTCCTGTTTCAGTGCCTTATTAGGGTAGCTCGTGTTTTGGAAGAGCATTTCTGAACCAGAGAGAGAGAGTGCCTGTGAAAGTTCCATGACAAACAGTGACTCACAGTGTCTTTCTAATACTGGCAGTGTTTCCTTCTGTTTTGCAAGCTTGCAGGCTGTGTTTGATATGAATGCCTTTCCTGCTAGAATTTTGTGTAGCTGCATTAAATGCTATTTTTACATCTGGGGCTGGTTTATGTTCTGGATAGCTCTGTTTTATTGGAAAGGAGTAGCTCTGCTATAATTCATGTATAAGACCTGTTATTTTCACAAATACAGTTTAGAATAATAATGACTTCACAGATTCTGAGACTTAATCTGCTGTCTGGTATTTGGAGGAGTCTGGTTATATAAGCAGGTGTTTCTCTGATGTGTTCAGTTTCTCTTTTTTTATCACAGAACGGAAACCCAAGTGCCTTACAACAGTGTAATTCACGGTGTTCAGACTGTTCCTAGCCTTCCTGACTGCCACTGTTTGTGCTCAATTTTGTACATAAATCTACCAATTTTGTATATGTTGGTATGTAACGGTGCATACAGTGGAAATACTGCGGTGCTCAAGTAGATCGTGTAGACAATGACTTCTAAAAAACAGATGGATTTTAGATTTGTACATTTTTTTACCTGTGTATTGTATGCATTCATGTTTAGAATGTGGTTCCATTGTACTGTTCAAACTCTGCTGAGCTGCATATGACAATCCCAAGTATTTGCTGTCTGCCTTGTGGCTCACTAAGTTCTGTCAGATTGCATTATATAATTTTAAATGGCTAATTCAAATGAAGCATTTTTTAAGAAGAAACTGGGTTTGAATGCACTGGGTCCCCTTTTCTGTCCCCACTTTAGTATTTTTAACTGTTTCAGGAATTATATTTTAAGTGTACGTAAGAGAAATAAAATATTACATATTTTTAATTAAACAGAAACAACAGTCCAAAGACACCAGAATTCTGAAATATGTCAATTGAGTTTTATTTTACTATCATTTTTCACTAACTATAGGAATAATTGTGATTCAAATCCAAAGCCAAGCATAATTTTTCTCCCTGGCTGTTGAATGACCGTGCGATATTCAAAGTATTGAGTCTTAGTACTGATAATTTTAAGATAAAGCTTTGCTGAGCAAAAATATTAAGAGTCTAGTCATCAAAAACAAAAGGCTGGTTTGCATGTGTTTTATCCAGCAACACAGGCCGTTCTCGGTGAGAAGGTGAACGCGAGGCGGGGCAGATTCCCGGGTGTCCGGCCCGGTGTCGCCGCGGGACGGGAGGTGGCGCCGCCGGCCCGGGAGAGCCGGGCCCGGCCTGAGGGCAGCGCCCGGATTGCGGCGTCCCGGTGCTTCGCCGAGTCCTCACGGGGTAGGCTCCGTTCGCCTCTCGGCTCAGGCACCGTGCTCTGGTTCGCTGACACTTTGTGTTTGATAGGCGCATGAAATTGGTGGTGATGTATTTACCTTTGATATGAGTCCCTTGAATGCAGAAGTGCGGCCAGAAGTCTGCGGTTTGAACAGTTCTGATTGCCAGGAGTTTAAGATATCGGTGCATAAGAAATTATATTCTCAAAAAAAAAAAAAAAAAGTTGGGATTCAGAAGTATTGCATTAAAAATCCGAGAGGGCATGGTGAGGGCAGAGCTGGCTGCCGAGCCCTTGGTGCGGGGCAGAGCAGGATCCAGAGCCGCCTTTCCGCTGGGCAGTGACCTGGAGCACACAGCTCCGAGCCAGCTGAAGGCACTGCCGCCGTGATTCCTCCTCCCTTCTGTGGGGAGCATCCCCAGCCTGAACCCAAACAGACCCAGCCCAACGAGCTGTTTTGCAGACAGGGAAATGGGGAATATCTAAAAGGCAGAGCGTGAATGTCTGGGATTATTTTCTGTGAGGAGAAGGAGGAGGTACACTGTGGTTTATAAATACTTTGTGTGGGAGATCTTCACAGCAGAGGGCCTTGAATTAAAAGAGGCACATCAGAGTCTTTTGCCAGATCTACTGGCAGAACACCAAGAATATGGATAAGGGCATTCTTGACATTCTGAAGTGAAGGGGCATTAAAATAGTAATATTTGGCATTCATGGGAATAAATTAATGTTTTCTGTCACAGTTATAGCTATCCACGGATTCTCTACATTAGGAAAACAGAACTGGCTATATTTTCACTTTTAACTAAGTTTTTATTCTCTTGGCTTGTGTGCCTGTCAGCTGCTCACACCGAATCTAAAGAGAAATTTCCTGGGCTGAATATAACTTATTGTGAAACATATACCATTAACACACAGCTTCCCAGTGTCCAAAACTGTTTCCCTTCCAGACTTGAGCCAGAAACAGACTTTTGAGTAAATGAATAAGATAGCACTAGAAATGAAACCATTTTAAAAAATGCTGGGGTGATCATGAAATTAATTCACAGAGTCTCTATCAACTCAGTGTGTGCACATGATTATTTTTTGTATAATACCCTATAATGC